ATGAAAGAGTAGTGCATATTTAAGTCTACCAAGAATAATCAAGAAATGTCTTAAAGAAAATAATTTAAAACCTGTAAAATGACTAATTAGCATTGCAAAAAAACATATGGACATAGAGAAAATGCAAAACCATGGAAGGATATGTACATGGTGTCCAGAAAAAGACTAGTAGACTAAACATAGTTCAGTAGCATTGGAATATAAAGAACAGAATTTAGAACTGCAACACTTGAGGCCGGAGATGTAGACAAAGCCAAGATAGAAGACAGCATTGACTTTAAAAATAAGCTTTAGGGGTGCCTGGGTGGCTCAGTGCATTGAGTTTCTGCCTTCGGCTCAGGTCATGATCTCAGGGTCCTGGGATCGAGCCTCGCCTAGGACTCTCTGCTCAGCGGGGAGCCTGCTTCCCACCGTCCCCATCTGCCTGCCTCTCTGCCTACTTGTGATCTCTCTCTCTGTCAAATAAATAAATAAAATCTTTTAAAAAAATAAAATTAGCTTTAAATAATTCTAATCGTAAATTAAGCTGAAACAATTGATGTTCACATTTATTTCCCATTACAGAAAAACCTCCCTTACTACCTCCAAATACCACCTATTGGTGATCAAGCTACTCTCCTATGGAAACTTGAGACTTATGGTCCTTCCTTTTGAATCCAGACAGTCTTTGAACTGCTTTGATGAATCAAATAACCCAGAAGTGACATTGCACATGCTTCAAGGCTCAGACCTTAAGAGTCCAGCAGCTTCCTCTCCTTGTCTCTTGAAATACACTCCCCTGGGGCCCTGAGCCATCATCACCCCACTGAAGAGCCTGAGACAGGTCCTGAGACTGCATGGGGAGAAAGGGACCCAGCTGAACTCATCTTTCCCAAAGTCCTGACTAAGTTACCAGGGATGTAAGTGAAGCCATATTGAACCAACTAGAACAGCCCATCTCTCAACTGTGAACCTGAAGATAGAATATAAATGGTTGTTTGATTTAAGTCACCAAATTTTTAAGTGTTATTTACAAGGCAATAGATAATTGGAATACAGATATCACTATATCCTTTTTAAGGCAAAATGATAGAAATAATTATCTAAAATTTCTGTCTCCAGTTCTCTCTCTCTTTTTTCTTTTATCGATACATTTTATTTAGGCATAAATCCCTAGCATTCCACAGACCTCTCTTTTATCAAGATTGATAGACACCAATATCTGGTTTAATTCAATGGTCCTTTCTCAATCTCAGCTTATTCAAATTTCTGCAGGATTTAATACAACTGCTTACTCTCTCCTTTTTAAAAGCTTTTTATTCATTTTGTTTCTAGAACAAACATACTCACTAGAGGCTGTTCATTGTGTTTTGCTATTTTCTGCCTGTCTTTTTTTCCATCTTTATTGAAGTATTATTGACATATAATGTTGTCTAAGTTTTATACTTTTTACTGTGATGATTTGATACACATATATATGGAATGATCACCACAATAAGGTTAGTTAGCACATTCACTATCTCACATAATTACCTTTTTTTTTTCTTTTGTGGTGAGAGCATTTAAGGCCAACTTTCTTAGCAACTCTTCTCATGTACATAATTCAATCTTGTTAACAAATCACCATGCTGTACATTCATCACATGCTACTTATTTATCTTATAATGGAAGTTTATACTTTTTGACCAACATCTACCCATTTCTCCTATCTCCCAGCCCCTCCAATCACCAATCTACCCTCCATCAATATGAGTTCATTTTTTTTGGATTCTATGTATAAGTGAGATCAGAGAGTATTTGTCTGTCTCTGTCTGACTTATTTCACTTAGCATTGTCCCCTCAAGTTTTATCTATGCTGTTACAAATGGCAGGAACTTCTTCTTTAATGGTTGAATAATATTCCATCTCCTATATACACCACATTTTCTTTTTCCAATCATCTGTTGATAGACACTTAGACTGTTTCAGTGTTTTGGCTATTTGAATAATGCTGCCAAAAACATGGTGCTATCTAGGGAATTTCAATACCCACTGCCAGTATTACTACTTCTTCTTGGAGTCCTTTTCTTGCCCTTGTTTCTATTCCCAAATGTCTAAATAATGTAATACCAAGGGTTCAAGCTCACCACTTACTCTTGCCACCTTCCTTCTTTCCTAGATGACTCTTACAGTCTCATGCTTTACAATGCCATCTATAAACCCTACATATACAATACCTACCACTTACTGGGAACATAGGTTAGAGCAATGGATTAAACAAAGTCCCTGTCCTCAGGGAGCTTATATTCCAAAGGGAGAGTATAGATACTTAATACATGTCGTAACACATTTCTTGAAGAAAAGGAATTGTGTTAAACACTCTTCCTAAGAGCTGATGAAGCATAGATAAAATCATGTTTGAACATTCTTTAGAAATGTCTTCAGGGACTTCTGGGTGGCTCAGTGGGTTAAGCCTCTGCCTTCAACTCAGATGCCTTCAACTCATGATTCCAGGGTCCTGGACTCAGCCCCGTATTGGGCTCTCTGCTCAGCAGGGAGCCTGCTACCCACTCTCTCTCTGCCTGCCTTTCTGCCTTCTTGTGATCTCTGTCTGTCAAATAAATAAATAAAAAGAAAAAAAAAAAAGAAAGGAAATGTCTTCATATGCAATTTAACATTACACATGTGGGAAAATACCTTCCATTTTATATAAAATAACTATTAAAGGCAGTGTCTATATGATAGAGTCATCTCTATGTAATAATTATTATTAATAGACATAATTACCCAGAATAAAACTATTTTAACCAACTTTATTGAGATATAATTTGCATTTAATAGCATGCATCAATTTAAAGTGTAGTAATCAATGAACTTTGACAGATATACAAACCTGGGAAACCAACACCAGGATCAAGATACAGATATTTCCCTCAGGGCAGAAATTTTCTTGGAACCAAGCTCTTTGCTCAATTTTAATAACAAGAGTGATCATGAGTTTTTCTGATAATTTTCTTCTCCATTCTGACCTGTCCTGTTATGTGTGTGTGTGTGTTTGTGTGTGTATGTGTGTGTTTGTATGTGTAAAATAATATATTTTATATGTTAGAACAAAATGGAAGACAGTGGAAATCTCACTACTCATTTTGTCCTTCCTTTTTCTGGATCCCATTCAGTCCCTGTTAGATAACAGCTTTTTTGTGTATATGTATGTTTTTATGGTTATCTTTATGCAAATATAGGAAATGTAAATATATATCCTTATTTTTTCCTTTTTTGTGTAAAATTAACATATTGCATGGCTTTCCTATGTCTTATTTTTCATTTCTCAAAGTAAATTATATATTTCTTTTCCCTTTATATGAATAGAATCTTTTCTCATTCTTCTGTAGGGCTGCCCAATAGTATTTCATAGTGATGTGCTATAATGTATTTAAGCAATCTTCTGCTGATAGACATTTGGGTTGTTTCCAATTCTTTGCTATTACAAACAATACTCCAATGAGTGACTTTGAGCATTTGTCTTGTGCATGTGTGCCAAGAGTATCTGAAGAGTAAATTCCCAGAAGTGAAATTGCTGGTCATGGAGTATATGAATTTGTTATGTGGATAGATATTGCCAAATATTTCTCCTCAGGGAACGAGCCAGTTTATAGTGCCACCAGGAATAAATGAACATACTTTTTTCCTCCCTGGTCTTGCCAACAGAATGTACTATCAAATTTTGGGTTTTTTCTAAATGATAGATAGCACATAATAGCCCAGTATAGTTTCCATTTGCATTTTTAATTTTATGAATGAAGGTGAAAAAGAGCATAAGTAATAACTTAGAAAATTAAAGAAACTAACCTTTCCTTACAGGATGAGTTCAGAATGCAAGTCCCTTTGCACATATTGTTCAGACCTGAGCAAGGCAGCCCATGACCGTTAAAATATGCTTCAGTCATTAAACCTCAACTAGTATTTTTAATTCAAAAAAGAAAAAATTAAATACATAAGTTCAAAAGATTTACTTATTTTCTCATGGAGGAAAAAAAAATTAGAAACCACCTTCAGAATTAGGAAGCTACAGCCTCTACTTCACCATCTAATAAAATGGAGAGTTATGAACATTGAAGGGAGGCATCTTTAAAGAGCACGGAGTTGAAAGTTAGAGATAAATACAGAAATTAAAATGTAAGGTAACAGGTAATAAGCTGGTCAAAATTGCTGGCATTAATATAAATGTATGTTTTATTTTCTAAATGACAAAATGCAGAAATATTGAGGAGAAATGAAAATAAAATTGAGGAAAAGCATTCCATGAGTCCTTAGCATCCTTTAAAATGTAGCCTTTATGTTATCAAAATTCTTATCAAGCCATAGAAATGAAAATTTGAAATGCATCAATCATACATTTCACAATTTAAGTCCGGTCCCTAATTTCTCTTTGCCCTATAAATTTGTGGCATGGAACAGTCTGTTGAATTTAAGAAGTTTTCTCCCTATCTACATCTGTAGAAACTCTAAGTTAAAACAATGTCATCTACAGTTTCCTGCCATAGATAGATGAGTATGTGAATATCTTGTAGAGCCCAGGCTTTCCATATTTATTTACCTGGGTTAGATAATTGGGCTGAAAGGCTTCTATAGAAAAATTAAAATTTCATATCCCAGGAGAAGAGAAAAGCCGAGAATACAGACAAAATCATAGTAGGTCAATGCTATTGAACCTGTATGACAACAAATAGAACAGATGGGAAAACATCAGTCTGCTCCACCACATGGGCACAGGCTGGCAGCTCTGACTCATCCAGGAGCAGAGGTGAACACAGCAATCAACCTCCAAAAGCAACCATCTCTTAAATTTGTCTTCAAGGAAACCTTGAAATTCCATGGTGAACGTTACAGAATGCATCAGGGTTCTGATGCATTGTTCTTGTGTGATACTAATTATCTTTACCTAGAAAGCACTGGAAGCAGGTTATAAAAGCCAGTTTGACCTTAAAGCCAAAGCTAAAGTGTTTTTTTTTTTTTAAATCCTTGCCTTTATAAACCTCTAAAATATCTCATTACCTGACGGTATTTTAAATGCAAAGTATAACAAATACATGGTTATTTTTAGGATAAAACCAATATCTGTATATAATATTCTGCTTTTATAATATTACTTTCTAACCTCTTGGATCACATCCCGTGCTATGCAGAAAAATTCATTTCCATCGGAAGAGACTTTGCTGAGCACATGAGTCTGACGCTGCTTGCTACCTGACTGCTGGGCAGTTCTGAGTTGTAAAGCTTGGGGTGTCACACTGGGCTGACCCAAACCTGTTGTGACTTGTTTCATGATTTCTGAGAAAGGACCTAAGAGGACAAATTCCCCATTCTGACTAATGAAGGAGATGTGACAAAGGGAAAATCCCTTCTTGTCTCAGTACAAACTACCACCACTGGTGGCTATAGAAAGAAAATGAGATCCAGATTGGTAGAGACCAAAAAGGTGAAACATCAGAGGCAACTTGGGGTCAGAGGGGAAAGGCAGTTGTAATAAGGAGTTCCAGGTGGGGGAATTAAAGAGCAATCCCAGAAGGTCACAACAGAAAATTCTAAGCAGCTCTCAAGGAAAACAGGTCCACGGTCCACAATGTTCCCAGGAAAATGGCAGGGCTTATGGGGCTTGAATGTTAGTTGACTCTCAATAAGGTTCAAGGCCAAAGCTTATTTTCCTTACAAGTCGGACTATTGCTCATGTTTCTTTTAGCACTCTGGGGTGCTCTGGGGGAAGGCTAACTGCACTGAGATGAAGGTGGTTCAGAATTTGCTAAAAATTCACATTTTATCAGATAAGATAATTTGCATTTCTTTGAAGAATTTACAACTCCTGTATGGCTTTCTGCGCAAGTCAGTTTTATTTTTCTCCTCTAAAATGTATGGAGCCAAATACAGTCAATGAAGTTCTGGTAACAGATGATTGGTAACAATTCTAGGCAAGTACAAGACAAACATTTATTCTTTTCTAGGCCTGAAATCTTATCTGAGCCTTGTTTTTTTTGTTAAAATTTTCTTTTGTATGTCCCATTAGTGGTTGATACTATCTAAAATAAGGTCCTTAGAGGCAAATCCCAGGTAAATAAAATAAATGTATGTTTGGATTATCTTCAGTGATATGGAGTGATAGTGATGGGGGAAATGAATAGATGTTTAAAATATTAAAGTACAGGGTCCTTTCTTAGACTCAATTCAGTTTTGCCTTTACTATTACTGGTCATAGGCAGGCAGCCGCCCCCATATAATTGACCACTGGGAAAACTTTATTCCTTCCGAATCTGGCTGGAAAGTGGAAAGATTATTCTATAACGTATTTCATTTTTAGAGCTAACAAAGATAAACACACAGGGTATTTCAATTTAAGGTTGCTGTTGCCCATAATTAGGGAACTATGATAGGTTATTAAAAAAGAAGTTACAGAAATGAGGAAGCCGCACAGTTACAAATACTTGGAGTCAGGAGCGTTTGGCACTTTCTGAATTTCTTATCAGATGGCAAATGGGTCTCATTGCAGACACTACACTACATTCAGGCCCTACACTACACCTCGTAGGCTCCTTTTCACCCATCCCTTTCCGTGCTGAGGCTGCGCTCCTAATTCAAACAGGATGAAAGAGGCAGAGATTTTCCCTCTCTAAAACTGGCGATTTTTACCTGAAAGCATTTAAATTGAGTCACAGGCAGGTTATAAGCTCTTGTTCGAGTTCTAGGATACAGTATGCAAGCAGGCATGCACGCACACACAGAGACGCACATATACGTACAAACGCGCATGTGCAGCTACCCTCCCCCACCCCGACACACTGAATAAACTTTCTCTTATTTTTCCTTTCTTTTCTTTTTCTTTTTTTTTTTTTTAATAAAGATTTTATTTATTTATTTGACAAAGAGAGAGCACAACCAGCAGGGAGCCTGCTCATCAGGGAGCCCTAATGGGGCTGGGTCCTGGGATCATGACTTGAGCTGAAGGCAGACAGACGCTTAGCCGGCTGAGCCACCCAGGTTCCCTTCTCTTATTTTTTCTGTACAATAATCGACTACAGTTCATTTTGATGTAACTATTCTTCTAATTGATGACATAAAATGCCGGCTAGCTGAGCAGGTATAAAGAAAAACTATGATTTGGCTTTCCAAATTCACCATTTATGTAATTAGCACCTGAAGACCTAGTTGTCATAACTCGCAGCTATTTTCTGGACTTCACATCATGATATACTTTTAATACTGATCACTATACTTCTATTAAAATTATCAGCCCATTAGTGAGGCTGTATTTCGTACGCATTCTTTCTTACCTTCTCCTTACTGAAATGTATTGTCAATTTGCAACATTAATGAACAGATCCTGTTTAAAATGTGTTGCTTCTGGGGGTGCCTGGGTGGCTCAGTGGGTTAAAGCCTTGCCTTCAGCTCATGATTCCAGGCTCCTGGGATCTAGCCCTGCATTGGGCTCTCTGCTGGGCAGGGACCCTGCTTCCCCCCTCTCTTTGTCTGCTTATCTGCCTACTTGTGATCTCTGTCTGTCAAATAAATAAATAAAATCTTTTTTTTAAAAAATGTGCTGCTTCTAAATTAACCTTTATGATTACTTTTCCCACTTAGTTTGGGCAGAATTGACTGACAGATTGTGAGATTATCAAACAGCCCTTTTTCTCACCATGCTTAAAATGCATTCTATGTTTAAAATAGTGCTCTGAATGTGCTATGTTTGATCGCTCTCACTTAGTAAATGAACGAAAATATGATCCAGTGAAACATTATTATCAAATATATTTGTTCATTGAATAAGTACTGTTAAACAAGGCTGGAACACATTCGTAAAAAGACAAAGACCCTTGCTGTCCAGGAGCTTAACATGAGAGGAGCGAATAATAACAACGAGTTAAATTATGTGGTATGTTTTAAGCTGATAAACATTACAGAAAGAAAAACCAAGTTAGGGGGAGGGGATTGGAGTGTTGTTATTGGTGTGCAGGTAGGGGGAGGGTACCAGTTTGCAATATTCACAATGTTGGCCTTGGTAGGCATCACTGGAAAAGTAAGAATTATGCACAAAGGAGATGAAGGAGTTAGCCAAATTCTTTTTTTTTTTCACCCTTTAAAAATTACACTTTAAACATAAAATTAGCAGAAATCTGGAGTTAACAGAAGATGTGTTTTTAAGTTGCATTTAATTGTATAAGACTAATGATTCACAGACCCATACCCCTGAAACAAATAATACATTATACGTTAATAAAAAATTTTAAAAAATAAGTTGCTTTTAATATAAAATTGTAACAGGTATATGGTATTAGGCATGTATGTTTACTTATAAAAATAAAATGTGCTTTGAAAAATTATACTAAATCAGTGGAAAGAGAAAATATAAGACTCTAGTATCTGTTACTCCTCCTGTTCCAACCCTAAAAAAAATTATAATGTGATGGGAAATGTAATCAAATTATTCCTTTTAATTTCATGGTTGCCTAATTACTTTGAGCGGAAACCAAGCAACAGTTTACAGTGCATGAATATATTTAAATTAGTTCCTATTTATGAGGTAACAAAATGTCTGTGCCTTCTATTATTAATTTGGATATTTACATTTCTAATTATAATTTGTTGGGAAATAAATTCAGTGTATTGATTTACTAATTTAGTACAACATTAAGTAATATACATATGTGACTTTATAAATCACATCCTATTGTATAAAGTACACTGATTTTTTGGTATGACTTGTTGAAATAAAACAAATATTTTAAGTTGCAATCAAATTTACTATTTATCTTAAGCCTCACTAAGTCATCAGTAGAAAATTAGAGCATCCTTTTTTCTTACTGCGCAAGATAAATTTCATTTATAGCCGTATAAACTTTGTCTTATATAATTTTAAGAGATAATGATTCTTACTTTAAAAAATAGAATGTAAACTTAATATATTTACCTTCTTCAATTGTGATTTTTTGCTTCATTAGCATGGAACAGGTGAAAAAAATATTATCAAGAGATGTGTATCACTTAGTAAGTGTTATCTCATCTAATTCCCAAAATAGCATAGAGAAGTAGAAGTTCTAGTTTTCTATTTTGTGGTTTAAAGGATGACAATACATACTGATCACATATAGAGTACAATGAGGATGAAAACCATCCATTGGACATGGGAACATGGAGGTCATTAGTATTAGTAAAATTTTTGACTCTTTAGTGTTTTTTGTTAATTTTATAGTCCTATGTTAGAAAACCCTATTTTTTCCTCGGCTGTTAAATATGTTTACAAATTGTAAATACAATCATATTTCCTTTCTAATTCTCAAAGAAAAATTATAAACACATTTTAACTCTATTGTTGGCTTGAAGGTGTTTTTAAATTTGACTTAATTTTTTCTATTTTTTTAAAGATATATTTATCTAAGGAGAGAGAGAGAGCAAGTGGATACATGAGTTGGGAAGGGACAGAGGGAGAGAATCTTCAAGCAGACCCCCATTGAGCACAGAATCTGACACAGGGCTTGATCTCACAACCCATGAGATCACGACTTGAGCAGAACATTTTATGCTTTATCGACTCAGCCACCCAGGAGCCCCATGACTTGATTTTTTCTAATGAATTTTTTTAGTTTAGCTATAAAGTACAAATATGATAATAATAATAGTAAATACTGGTGTTTTATAGGAAGCTACTGCTTTGCAGTTTCCCTCAAGGAGCACTATGTGGACTGACTTTATTTTCTCACAAAACATATACAGCTGTCCACATGCAAGAGCAGAGCTATGACCAGATTATCTCATGTAATGTAAGATTTACCTACGGATATATGAGAATTAAGAAGAAGGAGAAAACTGTCTTGGCTGTGCAGATAGGAATTCCAAAGACAGACCCCTCTGGCCATCTCTTATCATCCTTTTCTTAATGCCACAACCAAGAGTCTTTGTCCTTTCTCCATTCTCTGCTGTTTTGCTGATTGAATTCCTCTAAGTAACTTCTTCTACTGCTTTTTTATTTTCACAACAGATTCATAGCATCCCGTAAAGATGGCTCCCATTCCCCTCATACCTCATGTTCAGACTCCCAGATGAGGTGCCAAGTGAGCTAGTAAACCATGATCCAAAACACACCTAGCCTGATCACCAGTCCTGTTCTTGAAAACTGCCTCACAGTCTAGTGCCTTGATACTGATACCTGCTTCCTTCCACTGTGAACAACTTGGTGAGGTTGTTCAACTTATTGAGGCAACTTACTGAGTTGCCCCTGAAAAACTTTGCTAGAAAAAGGCTGTGGGAAAGGGGTTCAATGAATGCTCAAGGATTCATCTTCAAAGTACACTTGAATCAGGACACCTGGGTGGCTCAGTCGGTTAAGCGTCCGACTCTTGATTTCAGCTCATGTCATAATCTGAGGGTCGTGATCTCAGGGTCATGATATCAAGCCCCACATCAGGCTCTGTGTTGAGCAGGGAGCCTGCTTAAGATTCTCTCTCACTTGTTCTCCCTCTGCCTCTCCCCAGCTCATGCTCTCTCTCTCTCTACACACACACACACACACACACACACACACAGTACCCTTGAATCAAGTTCCCTGGTTGCAGGCATTTCTCCAAGCTATAGACACCTATTCCCAGCTACCATCTAGGAATTACCAATGGTACGGAGAAATGGCTCATTTTCAAATTATTTATTTATTTACCTTTTACTTGATTTTACTGAGAAAACACACTGTACCTTTGGTCCTGTGCCCAAAAGAGTGACATGGTATTTTCCAGGCAATAAAATGGGGAAAGGGAATTATGACCAGATGGGACAGCATGTGTGCCATTTGGAGGAAGGCTAAAAAGTTCTTCTTGGCTCAGACACAAGTGATGTGCATTGACAGGGAGTGTATGAGATTTCCTAAGGAGAGCCTATATAGAATTATGGGCAAAGATGGTTTTAACTCTCCGGGACTTCATTATCTTTGTGTGAAATGAGATGCTTGGATGAGTTGTTTTCTGAGACTCACTCTGTCTATATGAGCCTCATTCAGTCATTTCAAGTCATCCTTGAATGGAGCCCTCTTGCATTGTCCAGATTCGGTTTCTCATCATCCCATACAGAATAAAAACATCATGAGCTGCTTTCAGTTCATCTTCAAGGACTCAGCCTTACCGGAGCAATCATTGTCCGAGAGCCCCCCACTCCCACTGACAGCAATTTAAAAATAAGTGTTTTGCCAAAGAATGTTCCTCCCATATCCTTCAGGCCTCGCTCCCTGTCAAAGACTCTGACCCACACACATCTCGAAGCCAAGAAACTTCCAGCCTCTCTCTTCACAATACATTATCTTATTAACACTTCCTATATTATTTCAACAATATGGGTCTTTATTGCCCTCAGATTGGCCAAACACTTGGTATTGAATTCAGACAGATATGTGATGAAAGGCCGATTACTCCACTGAAAATGTTTGTGACCCAGAGCAAGGAATGGAGCAGCTCTGGATGTCATCTGTGCAACAGAGGTAGTAATATGTGCGCAGAGCTGTATAAGGATTGGACGTGATGCACACAAAGGGCCTTATAAAAATTATAGCTGGTCCTTCTATTATTAATAAAGAATCTCAGAAATCCTTCATAAAATTCTAGCCCTACATCTGGGTCTCTATACAAATCATGGCATGGCATGTCAAAGTTGTGTTGCCAAAATTTTAAGATGATTTATAGACTCCAAAATATGTAGGCTTAAATATTTGCCTCATATGAATTACTGCATGATAGTTTATATATATGTGTGTGTGTGTATGAATATATGCATGTAATGTGTGTGTATATGTGTGTGTGTGTGTATGTAATGCATATGTATTTAACTCCAGTTGGATCCTGAGGGTACCTCCAAATATTGAATTTATAAAATACCAGAAACAAAGTCTAATTTCGAATTTCCTGCCAGGCACGGCAATCTAGCAGTCTGTGTGTGTGTGTGTGTGTGTGTGTGTGCACATGCATATGTATGTAGATATATAACATTAAAATTAGATGTCAAACTTTGCAAAAGATGAAATAGCATTTGGACCACTGAGGTAGAGGCTAAGTCTGGGCAGCAGCCTGAATTTGTCTACTTTTAGCTATGGAACTCCTCTTTTCGGGTATCAACTCATGGTCCTCTTATACTCTTTCAAGCAAAGAATTACACCAGTGTGGAGTACTGGAGAAATTTCCTAGTGCACAGCTCCCATGTTGAGCACTAAGTATGACAGATCAGTTCACTAGGAGTAAAGCATACGGTTCTGATGTTAAGGGGAATTGAGGTGGTTAAAAAAAAAAAAAAACAGGTAGGAATGTAAATAAACAAAAAGGGACTTACTGGCAATATTGGGGCCATTTTTCATAATGTCAGGTCAAAGCTTTGTAAGCATATACTCAGTATATCTCAATGTTTTGATTCTTAAAAAAAGCTAATTGAAGGAAGAAACTGGATTTGCTTCCTCAACTTAGTAACAGTTGACATGGGGCAGCAATCTGGTAGGGGTAACTGATTGGATCCCTCTGTTTTGTTTTTATTTCTGATTTTCCATCTCAGTTATTACTGTTCTCTTTCAAGCCGAAATACTGCAGCCAGATATTACAGTGAGATTTATGAATTCATTAAAAATACGTAGTTCAACTTCAACTGTCCATGTGGTTTTTAATTTCGAACAGCTTTTATGCAGCACCTTCTAATTTCAAATCTTTTTTTTTTTTTTTAAACTCCTAGATTTCAAAATAGCATTTCCAGGATGTGGCCATGATTACTTCTGCTCAAAATTGCCTGTTTAGAGGTTCACTGTTCAGCTGTATTTTCTATACAGCTCACTGGAAATCAAAACAACTAAGAAAAACGTGTTTTCTTTGCAGGAATGACTTTGAAATTTTAAAAATCACTCACAGTAAATTTAAACTGAACAAATTTCACCTGCATGTGTTCGGGCATTGTCGTGTTGCTAGCATGCAAATGCTCCTTCGATATTTGTTTGTTTTCTTTATATTTTACACTACAGAAGGATCTCTTGCTGGTGTTTGTTAGTAAGTCAATCTTTCTTCCAGACATCAAGAGGTGACCTTTATGACCCAAAGATTTATCAAGTCAGCAATCTGTTCCCTGGGGCCAGCATCTTCAGCGTCTTCCTCTGCCAGTCACGTCTGTGGAAGACTTTGCCAAACCCCATGAGAAAATGGACTAATCTACTTGTTTCAAAGAACAAGAATGACATCTTTACTGGCTGTACTTTGTCTATAGAGGAAAGAAGCTAATAAAGGATGAAATACTTTATCCAATTGTGAAAGATCCAATGCAATGTTTTTATAATAAAGGACACAGAGAGTAGCAGTTAGTAAGCAGCTAGTCTGAGAAGATAAGGCTTCATTACTAGGAACAAAGGGGAGAAACTTATTCCGAAGAACTCCGTGAGACAAATATGTTTTAAAGGCACAATACCTTTTGTCAGCGCATTTTTCTTGTCTTGGTTTGGTATTGTGGCTATGACGTTCTATAATAATTGAGCCACAATTGGTTTCTGGCCTCTTGTTTTGTTATCATAAAGGTCTGAGCACGCCTGCAATTAAGTCCAATTATTTGTGAATTGTGAGGTCGTCTCTGTAAATGACGACTAGTTGAAACATTACGGAGGTGACATGTCAAAGACTCCTTAAAAAACCAAGCGGAGGAAAAACTAGGCAATTATCATCAATGCTAGTTTTTAGATGGAAGAAGACAGCTACAGCCCAAACAATAGCATTCAAAATGAGTTCCCAAGTAAAAAGGAGTAAAAATAATCCTGAGAGTTAACCAGATTTACAAAGGATATCACTAGGTTACCTAATGAGAAGCAGCTTGGATATGACACTTTGCCATGGAGCTTAAATAAGCTTCTTATTTTTCTTTTCTTTTCTTTTCTTTTCTTTACTTTCTTACTTTCTTTTTTTTTTTATTCTTCAGGTCAATGAAATAAGTAGAATTTCTGGACTCTCTCATGTCTGTATATTAACTAATTTTCATTGTTCGTTTTTTCATACTTTTGAAAAATAGTGCTTCGTTGTACTGTTAAGTCTTGCGATACCCAAGACATCTTGTATTTTATGGTATGGTTCCGTGCAAAAAGGACAAATATACTCACAATTTGTAATTGTTATTATTTATTGTCTAAATTTTATCTGGTCTTTTATGAGGCTTACATGTGCATACTTATATAAATAGAGAGCTAAGTTTTCTAAAACACAGTCGGTAACAATGAAATGTGATCCTCTAATAAGTGAAATCATTTTATCTGATAAGATACCAATTTCTTACATATAAATTTGCAACATTTACTGTCTGTAATCTAAAAAAAAGAGAGAAAAGAAAACTCAGATACAGAGAACACGTTGGTGGTTGACAAAGGTGGTGGGTGTGAGGGTAGGCAAAATTAGTAAAAATCATTAAAAGCTACAAATTTCCAGTTATAAAATACCTAAGTCCCAGAGATGAAATGTACAGCATGATAATAATTAATAAAAGTACAGCATATTAATAATAATACTCTATTGTGTATTTGAAAGTTGCGATAAGATTAAATCTTTTTAAAAAGTTTTAAAGTAGGGACACCGGGGTGGCTTATTGATTATGTATCCAACTCTTGATCTCAGCTCAGGTTTTGATCTTGGGGTCTTGGGTTCAAATCCTGCACTGTGGTCCACACTGGGCAAGGAGCCTATTTAGGAAAATAAAAACATATATTTGGACATACAATAATACATCAGTTTCAGGTGTACTGAAATAAGTACTGTTGATCTGCTTTTCCTGCCTGAGGAGACATGAAAAATGCTGCTAAGGTTGATGTCAAAGAGATTACTGCCTATATTTTCTTCTAGGAGTTTTATGGTTTCAGCTCTCACATTTAAATCTAAGGTAGTAGTGATTCCACAACTCCATAGGTTAAGCTATACTCATGAGTGTAGTTATCATCTGTCACTATACAGTGCTATTACAATACTAAGTATATTCCCTATGCTGTACCTTTAATCCCCATTACTCATTTATTCCATAACTGGACGCCTATACTCCCACATCCCACTTTCCTTTTTCCCCCCATCGCCACTCCCATCCCCACTGTATAAATGTATACATTTATACACACACACACACACACACACAAACACATACATACATAAAATAACCTCTTATTTATCCATCCCTCTAACAATAGACACTTAGACTGCTTCAATATCTTGGCTATTATGAATAATGCTACAATAAACAAGGCGTGCATATATCTTTTCAAATTAGTTGGGTATTTTGGTTTGCTTTAGGTAAATACCCAGTAGTGAAATTACTTGGTCATATGGTATGTCTATTTTTAATTTTTTTGAGGAGCCTCTATTATGTTTTCCACAGCAGCTATACCATTTTACATTCCCACGAACAGTGTATGAAGGTTCCTTTTTCTCCACATCCTCTCCAGCACTTGTTATTTCTTGTCTTTTTGATACTAGCCATTCTGGCAGGTAGAAGGTGACATCTCTGGTGGTTTTGCTTTGTATTTCACTGATGATTAGTAATGTTGAGCACATTTTCATGTACTTGTTGGCCATCTGTATATCTTCATTGGGAAAACGTCTACTCAAGTCCTCTACCCATTTTTAATTGGATTATTTGGTGTTGTTTGGTGTTGTGTTATGTAAGTTCTTTATATATTTTGGATATTGAACACTTATGGGGGAAATATTTGCCAGTATATTCCCCCATTCACTAGGTCATCTTTTCATTTTGTTAATGGTTTCTTACACTGTGTAAAACCTTTTTATTTTGGTGTCATCCCAACAGTTTATTTTTTATCTCTTTTTCTTGCCTGAGGAGACATGAAAAATGTTGCTAAGGTTGATGTCAAAGAGATTACTGCCTGTGTTTTCTTCTAGGAATGTTATGGTTTCAGTCTTCACATTTAAGTCTAAGAAAGTAAATCTTAAAAATCTCTCATTGCAAGAAAAACAATTGTAACTATATGAGGTGATAGATAATAGGCTTATTGTGATGATCATTTCACAATACATACACATATCAAATGATTATGCTCTATACCTGAAACAAATATGTTATATGTCAATTATATATCAAAAATATATAAAATTAAATAATAAAGAATTTAAAAGTATTAATTTTTAAAATCATACACTTTCTAATATATTAAATAAATTACAAGGTAGGCATAAAAATATAAAATTCTGTGTTAATTCATACCAAAACTTTTTCTGCGTCAAATATACTAGAGTCAGTAATTGTAAACAATATTGTCATAATGCAGGGGCACCTGGGTGTCTCAGTTGGTCAAGTGTCTGTCTTTGGTGCAGGTCATGATCCTAGGGTCCTGGGATCAAGCCCTGTGTCAGTCTCCCTTCTCAGTGGGAAGCCTGCTTCTCCCTCTCGTCCCTGCTCATGCTCTCTCTCTCTCACTGTCTCTGTTTCTACCTCTGTCTCTCTCAAATAAATAAGTAAAATCTTAAAAAAAAAAAAAAAAACCAGTATTGTCACAGTTCATTATGTAACACGCATACCCTTAGAAATGATAACATTTCCTTTGGACAAGAGTACTAAATTTAACAATAAAACTTTTCTGACTATAGAGTAATTAAAACCCTATGTAGGTCATAAATCCTGTTTATTTTTTGCCTTAGATGCCAGTTATAATACATATTTTAGTTGTAGCATCTGACTGGAACATCTGTTACCTGTTTTGTTCTGGTTTCTGAAAGCTTCCTTTTTAGTGTGACTGATCCCCACTATGTGTTTTATGATGTACAAGTGGTGTAACAATACACAGCAGATGTTCCTTACCATTGAGCTACATGCCTTTTCATTGACCCAGGCTGCAAATCTTCCTTTAATTCATTAAGTAACATAAGGATTCTACAATAACCTAGTTTTAACACCTCTAAGCCATACACAGAAAGACTTCTTCTTGTTACAAACACATAAGGAAGAGCATATTTACAACACTTGTTTTAAAAATAAAGAACCCATGCTTCTAACTAGTTTCTCAAAGTATTACTATTTGGGCTTGAAGAATAGGAAAACAATGTTGCATGAAGAAGGCAATAACAACATGGTTCATCTTAATCTTGTTTTTGTGAAAAGATTACAAAATCAGGTTTTGGATTTTTTAAATTTTTTATTTATTTTAATTTATTTTATTTTTTTTAACTATCAACCAGGTACCACATTGTTTTGCATATCTAAGGAAGTAAAGATCAGAAAGAGGAGGTAAGGTATGTCAAGCCACTCATCTAGTAAATGCACTCCATGGCACCCTGCTGCTAAATTCCATATTCTTTCCCCTCCCTCACAACATTGAATTGATATTATTGTCATTTTGAGGAGTGACAAAGATGAGAATAAAAGCAAAGCATAGCCAATATCAACTATCATCAATTCCTCTCCACTGTGCATGAATACTTTTATGTTCAAGCTAGTCTATTCCCCCATCCCCTTGAATTCCAACTGGCCCTGAACATTGCTCGATCACTAGAACGTAGTGAAAGTGACTTCAGGAACTGAATGAAAAACAAAACAATCAAAAAACAAAACAAAACAAAACAAAAAAACTTGTAAAGTCTCCCAAGTCTCCCAGAAGATTTAGAGAAAGAGAGAACTGTCATGGGTAAAGTTTGACTATCTTGAGAATGCCACACTGTGAGAAAGACCAAGTTAGCTGTATGAAAAGGCTTGAATAGTAAGAGAGATGCCCAACCCCTAGCTGTTCCACATAGTCCAGCCCAAGCACCATAATATGAATGAAGAAACAAGCTTGAACATTCTTGCATCAGTACACAGCATGTAGAGAAAACAAACAAACAACCAAAAAACAGAGGCCCCAAATAATAAGCAGAACTTACCAACTTAAAAATAAAATGGCTGGTTACTTTACCAGCAAAATGAATTTATTAGGAAAGAGCAGAGAAACTGTAGTTAAGGACAAATTATAGCAAACCATAGGCAAGTCCAAGCAGACAAAGGGGAAGTCAGCTTTTATAGGTTTTAGGAGGAAATTGGAGAGGGTTATTTTGAACAAAAGTGCTTTGGAGAAGAACAGTAATGTGTGATTGTAGCTGTTCCTGCGCTGCAAGCAGTGGTTGTGTGTAGTTGCTGGGGCCGGAGGTAATCATCCTTCTTTTTCTTGAAAGCAGGAGATAAAATTCCTGTGAGAAAGTGTCCTCCTTTGTCAAGATAATTCTTATCTTCCCTTTCCCTGCGGTTCCTGCGTGCTTCAAGGAGTGGTATTTGCATAAGAGCTACCCCTTCAGGGCTTCCATTTTAAATAAAGTTTCCCTTATTTATTTTCACAAACTGAAGCCCTAGATTTAGGGATACAGCCAAGGCATC